CTGTGAAGGCCCCTGTGCCTCATCTTCTTCAGATTAAACTTACTCCCTTTTTAAAGGATCTGCAATGCCCCTTTAAATATCGTCCCACCAGCCCGAGTCCTCCTCCTATTTCTCAGAACAGCTTTTTGGATTCCAATCCCAAGGCAGGATGCTCAGGATCAGAAGGAGCCGAGCCATCTTCGACCTGCCATTGCTGAGCTGCTGCAGAGAAGATGCTGGACTCCATGGACCAGCAAGAGCAATTGCTCTACTTCTCTGCTGATAGGCTTCCCAGGGTATTGTGCCATCATCCCCCCCCCCCAAAAAAATAAAAGTATGTTGTAAGCCACCCAAAGTATTGGACATAAGATGGATAGCAAATAAATTTCACAATAAATAAAATAAAAATAAGTAAAATGCTGGAGCAGCTGACGCAATTGAGCACCAACTGTTCCAGTATTCTAGAGGTGCTGCTTCTACGTCACAAAAGTCCTCTTTAATTTCCCATCATCTTATATTAAAACTATGCTGGGGAGGGGAAAAAAACACTCAGATTTGCAATTTATACCCAAGAGTTCTTCTTCTGAGAACTCTCTTGGAACTGGTGAGTTTCCACCGAGGGAGGGGCCTTCAGCGCAAAGCTACAATTGGTTCTCCACTTCATAAGCTCCTGGATTTAAAGCATCTGGGTGCCCACCCTTGGAAGCTTTTTTGAGTGAGATTGCCTTCATCTTCTTTGGAAGAAAATATGGGGGAGGGGGCTGCATCTCAGCCAAGGGACAAAGGCCCTCTACTCAAGGGGGGGGGGGTAGCTGGGCCAACTGCAACTCTGGCCTTGCTACTCGGTTAGGCTGGGATTTCTGGATTCCTGCATCAGACTAGATATTTACTCCGGAAGATATCAAGAGCTTTACTTTGAGACCAGCAAGCAGACATGAAGGAAACAAATAAAAAGCTGCTGGGTGGCTTGTATCTTATTTGCTGGGCAAATAAGTCCACTGTGGGCTTCTTCTAGGAGCCCCCTCCATTTGAGCGAGGGTCCTGCTGTTTGCAAAAGTCTTTGTGTAATTTCCCATCATCTTGTATTAAAACTATGCCGGGGAGAGGGGGAAAAAGATTCTGAGTTGCAATTTACCCCCCAGAGACCTTTTTCTGTGAAATCTCTTGCAATTGATGATAAGAAAGTAGTATTTGGAAATCCTTGTTTTCATTGATTTTTGAATAGACATCAGAAAAAATGTAGCTCAGAGCAAATATTTTAGCATTTATCTACCAGTCCTGTGGGTCTGATCGCTTCTATGTTTAACCACAAATATTTAATCAGCTTGGAAAGCTGCAAAGAGAATTCCAAGAGGTGTAAAGCAATCCATTAACAAGTCACACAAGTCTCCTCCATCAACACCCAAGGGAACCCTGCACCACAAAGAAGGAGTGTTGCTTCCTGCTTTGGAGAGCATCAGAAGCAGCTGGGAAGAATTGAGATTTCCCCCCCCCCTCAAAATTCTGTAGGTTTTATCACCAGTCTGCCTGCACTGAGTCCTTAAAAACAGCAGAAGCAGACTGTAAATTGGACAGGGAAGAGGGATCTTCCGGAAGCGGAGAAAATGAGACCATTTTCTTTGAACGATTGAAGCTGTTGGCTTGAGAAAAGCCGGGGTGGCAATAACTGGAGAAGGCCCAAGGATTTCAGGACAGTACTTGGAATTCGTTGGCATTGCCAAGAGCTATTCACCAGTTCAGTTCAAGGGCAAGATTGTCAAAGAGGCAGGAGTGGGGAGGGAAAACATGGATGTCCCTCGATTGAGGAGGAAAAGACCACCAAATAAAGGAGGGCAGAATCAGAATATTGTTAGAGGGAATTTCAGCTCTATCCAAACCGGTTGGGAAGAGGGAAGAAGGCGGCATTTAAAAGCCCTTCATTTTTAGGAATATAAAGTCCACCTGCCAGAATCAAAATACTTCCCAACTAGTCTAAGATCCCTTGGTCAGTAAAATGCCCCCCCCCAAAAAAGACCCAAAACTAGGTAATCTTTGTAGGAACAAAACTGGTGAAAATGGAAAGGGTTAATCAATGAAAACGGAAGTGGCAGGAATGGTAGGAGGGCCTAGTGGTCAGAGGCCATCCACCTTCAGTATTCTTGGAATATCCTTTGGGGCGAGCCAGGTGTGTGCTGAAGCAGACAGACTGTTGCCCCCTTGGCAAATTTTGATAAAATGCAATGCAAGTAATCCTCAGTTAATGACTGTTGAAGTGCTGATAAAAGTGACTTATGACTGGTCCTTGCACTTACGACTAGGGGTCACGTGAACAAAATTCAGGCACTTGGGCCACTGGCATGTATAATATGCCCCTCCCCCAGTCTGAATTTTTAGGAACTTACTCTCATTTTTAGAAACATGCATGGTAAACTGTATATATTTCCTAATTCTTCACTAAGGTTAAAAAACATCATGCAGAACACCTAATAAGGTTTATAATGTTAGAGAAACGTTTGGTATGAGGCAGGCATGCAAAACTCCCCACATTTGGAAGGGGGCAACTTTTTCTGTGTGGGGTTTTTTTTTTTTTTTTTTTTTTGGCAGAGTCTGCAAAAGGAAGCCTAGAGAGATTTGCCCCTCCCTTTTTACAAAGGTGATCTATGAAAGATTAGTTGGTTCTCCTTCTGCCTGTAAGTAGGTTAAGTCTTAAGAAATGAGTTCATAAAATTCATTTGCTGCTTTTAATGGGTAGAAATTGATCTAATCTTTCACAATCCTTTAATTGGTCCAGAGGGACCTCTAACTAAGCACCCCACAAGAGCTGAGAACAGCCTTGCTCAACAAAGGAGCTGCTCGCACACACACACACCTCACACACGCCTGCCCTCTTTGGAAGAGGCTAACAATAGTTGCCTTGGCTTTCTAGCTTAACGAAATTCCATTTCTAATTAATGCAAACTGCTTACTAGTTTGGAATCAAACTAACTGAACACTCGGAAGGGAAAGGTTAGCTTTTTAGACACCTGCTAGTCTGCATTTTAATCCGAGTCCAGGCTGGCCTGACTCAAAGGGGGTTGGGGTCTCAGGTCAGCTCTGCTCCGTATCTCAGATTCCAGCCGCAGAGAAGCAAAACTCCTGAGAAATCCTCAGGGTGGGCTACAGTCGCTCAGTGAAGTGCTCATTTCACAATACCATGTTCTACTTCGGGAGAGTCCACAAACTTTTAAAACTTCTGAAGTATCTTGGGGCAAGAAGCCAAATAGGTAAGAACTAACACATCAGTAGAGAAAATTGTGAAGCTGTTGCGTGTCTAAAGCTCCCTTAAACGGATGGTGTAAATGCAGTGCGCTGTGGGAAGGCAACAGAGTGACAGGAAGAGAAAGAAATGAATACCGGAAAGCATCTTTGTAGGTTGAGGACCAGCCGTGGTGTAATTTGGGGATGGCTCACTCCCAAGAACCAGCCGACAGAGGGCAGCAGCACCCCAGGTTTTGCCTTGAAGAAGGCGCCCCTGAGTCCCTGGCCCTTGCGGGGCTCCCAGCCTTTCCTCCAGGGTTTCCTCTGGTTTTGTTCTGTCTCCTGAAGGACACAGCATCGTAGGCCAGGCCCCTAGGTGGGCTGATGGGGACCTTCTAACCACACCATGTCTTGATTTCCATTCATGACGTCTTGCGTCATTTCTGTTGCTCACAAAGGCCGCTTCTCCCTTAGTAGTGACAAGCACAACACAGCTGACAAGCCTCTTGGGGTCTTCCTCCGGGGCTGACGGAGGGGTGAGAGGTGCAGAACCCACCCTTGTACCAGCTCCTGACTAAGGAAGTGCAAAGAAGCTGCCTTCCCTCTGTGCAAATGTCTCCAAGATTCTTTTTGAAGGTCTCAAACCAAGGGCGCTCCATCCCACTGAATGCAAAAGGCTTTGGGGGGAAATGCAGGAAGTTTCATTGACCTGGCCTGACCCCAAGAGAAGCTCCCATGAGAATGCTACAGGTTGAGGGTGCCCTCTAGGGACCAAAACAGCCCACCAAGAGCTGTCCAAACTCTCTGTCATTGGGAACAAGTCCCAGCCTCTCCCTGTCCTGAATTCTTGCATGTTCTCAGCCACCCAAGCGGCCTCAGCCAAAGCCTGCTCTGAACCTGTTAGGTGAGCTTGGCTGGAGATTTTGAGGGCTGGAATGGCATTAAATGAGGCGGCCTGAGCTTTTACTGAGCTAAATGCTTCCTGAAAGCTGGGTTTTTATTCCAAGGGAGTAGAATATTAGTGAAATGGCATATTTGGAGGGGGGGTATAGACCCTGCCAGTGCAGGTGGCTGTCTAGCTTTCACTTAAATGCTCGCTGCCTCCCGGTGTTAAATGCGAACGTTAGCATTTTAATCACTTCCTTGAAAATTAAAAGCTTGTGAATGCTTCCCTACAAAGGTATTTGCTCTTCCTCCCTGCTGGTATTAGCCACAGCTCTGGAGCCTAATTGCTGCCCCCTCCCATAAAAGAAGCCTTGGAAATTCCATCTTGCTAGATGGAAAAGGATCCCATGAAAGAGGCTCAACTGAATAAATACAAACTTGCATTTTATTGATTTATGGCAGCAACATATCAATGTCAAAAAACAAGAAGAAAAAAACTTGCAGTATAAAAAGCTCCCCCCCCCTGGACAAAAAGCACCCCCACGGCCACAGGATGGGCCACCACGGCAGAGGCCTCCTGGGCCTTTAGTCATCCTCCCTTCCTTCCATCCCAACTTTGGGATCTGCTGGAGAAATTTAGGAATCCCCATCTGCTCCAAGAAAGGCTGAGAGGCAGGCGAGGTCAAAGGTCTCCCGGGATCTGCCTTGAGGGAGGCCGAGGGGCTGGCCTCTCAGGGTGATTTTTTAAAGACTGGGGGGGGGGGGAGAAAGCCCCCAGGTGTTTCAGCTTTTTTGCTCATTCTCATGGAAAAGAGACGAAGGTATTGGGCACCCCGGGAGAAGGAGACGGGCGATGGGGACAGACAGAAAAGATCCCACTTGAGAAGATGAAGAAAAAATGAAACGGCTGAAATGGAAACCAAAATCTGAACAGATTTGTTTATTAGCTGGCCAGCCAGCTCTCTGCACCCAGTACAAGCAGGGCTACCGGCCCAGTGTGGCATGCCAGATGCGAGTTCCGCTTCTAAATCAAGTTTCTAGTCCTTGTGGCTGTGGAAATACACTTGAAAACGAATGAGAAATGTCTGCTCTAATTCCGGATGGCTCCTTAGGGTGGCCAGCTCTGTGTGGGGAGGGAGATTTTCAGAAATTTCCCTCCAAGGTAGCAAAAAAATAATAAATTACATCCCAAATAAAATCCCAGGAATAAATTATGCAAATAAAATGCCAGGTGCAGCATCTGTCTCTCACACACAGAGATACGTGTGCATACACATCCAGAGTGTTGTGTGGCAGTGCTTGCCCCATTGACACACAGAAAGTCTCCCTGAATTAGGATAGGCTTCACATCCAACGAAGTGTGCAAAGGATCCCAGTCCCAGACACTTTGATGGCTCCGAAGACGCTTACAGGATCGCTGAAGTGTGTTCTTCATCACCACACCCCTGCGAGGGAGGGCACTCTGCCTTGCCAGAGGAGAGTTTGAGGTTTTGTGTTTTGGGGGTGATGGGGCCTGGTGGGGTGGGGGGCCCAACCCCCACCTCTAGAGGGTGGTCCTCAGCTAGAAGGCTGCCCCCCACCACGGCCTGGCCTGCCTTATCCACAGAGCCTCTCAGGTGTGGCTCCCTGGCAGATGGTCCAGGTCTTTGGTGTCCATTGCACGGAGTCCCTTCGGCTGCATGGATTTTGCTGGGGGTTCAGTGGGGACCCTCAGCCTGCAGCAGCCCCCCTTTACTCCAGCTTGTGGATGTAGCTGTCCACGGTGGGGATCTCGACGTCCTCTTTCTTGACTGGATCCGCCATGTCTTTGTACCGCTCTCCCCGGTGACACTCCAGGGACGGCCCCCAGGTAGGTTTGGGCTTGCAGCAGGAGACGATGCGCTGGGAGGAGGAGGTGGAATTCAGGGGCTTTGCTTGTCTCCTGGGGGCTCTGGGGTCCTTCTGCCACCCACCACCAGCCTCGCCTTCTCACCCCCCAGCAGCACTCACCTGCCACAGGTTGCCTTTGGATCTGGAGATCTTGTAAATGGCCACTATCGGGATCCAGATGAGGCAGAAAACGATCATGCACCAGCCGACGGCAGATCCCCACTCTGGGTACTCCTTCTGGCCATACTTGGGGGGCGAAAAAGTGATCAGGGACCAAATCAGGATGCTCTGAGAGGAGAGAGAGAGAGAGAGAGAGAGAGATGAGAGGTTGAACATGCAACTTCAAGCAAAGCAAGCCTCTCTTCCAGATGTACTGGACTTCAATCACCATCATGCACAGCCAGCATCTCTTACACAAGATATTCAGATTCTGATGGTCAAAAACTGAGCCTAAAGGAACCACAATTAATTTCTGGGCCACCGGGATGTGGAAGGAGCAGATGACAATCCAGTTTATCAGAGCCTTAACACAAATCCTGCCAAAATTCAGATTTTAACACCTTCCTTCCTCCCTCCCTCCCTCCCTTCTTCAGTGGGTAGCTTATTTTTCTCCAAACTTGGCCAGCAATTATTGGTGTATTTGCTGAACCTCACCAAGTCCAGGATTCTGCTGTTCAAAGAGCAAACACCCCCAGCAAAGAGGCAGCCTACCTGTGGCATGCAGAATTTGGCCCATTGACTTTTTGTTCTCGACCAAAGTTTGCCGAGTGTCAAAGACAAAACATTGTGTGTGTGTGTGTGTGTGTGTGTGTGTGTGAGATCAAGCCAGGTTCCAAGACAGCTCCACCCTTTTAGGGGAAGGAACTTCACAGAAGGATTGATAACAATGGGCAGAGACGGTTTGCTCCCAGCCTCTGTTCCTTCCATCTTGCAAACTTTGGTTTTCTTCCAAGCTTGCTGGTCGTGGCTGGTTTTGTTTTGCTTAGAAAATGATTGGCATTCATAGAATGATGTACTTAGGAGGAACAGGAGCTGCTGTTTTTGGAAGGCGTGTAATTTTAGGCAAATAATGGGCCTCCCAACCAAGACGCGTCTCCATGGGGTGTTCTTTGGGCTCCCCAAGGCTTTCTCCCTCCAAGCCCTTGAAGTCTCTGGGCTACTTACCAGCAAGAGGCAAGGGGTGATGAAAAACCAGCAGGCTCTCCACCACAGCCAGAAGAGGAAGCTTTTCTTCCCAATCATCATCTCGATGTCTTCAATGAACCGGTTCCCCCCTGGACAGAACAGCCACATGGGTGGGGGAGTTAGTGCTGAGTTTTGGCAACGGGGCGACTCCCCAGAGTTATACCCTGCACGGATTAGCTCATTTTGTCTGACACCTGGCCAAAAATGAGTTGTGTCTCTTTTAACAGTGGGATCTGGGCTCAAATATACCCTATGCGGACTTGGCAAAACCCATTTCCTTCAGATAATCTTTCCCACATTGGACATCTCCAATTGTGCTAAGGGTCAGTCTCCAAATCTGCAGGACCCCCCCAATGGAAAAGCTTGGAATTGAGTCTCAGAAAGGAAAAGGACCTTCCATTTCACTTGCTGCCTCATGTAAACTTTGGAGGTTCCCCCAAGCAGCTGCTTTACCAAATGCCTCCTACAAGGACGGCTGGCCCTGGATGGAAGCATCTCCAAGGCTTTGCACTTGAGGCCGACCTTTGTCCTGCTCATCAAGGAGAGCTTGGATGGGGCTGAAAGGCTGCTGAGAGTCCAATTCGCTGGTGGCTTTTGGAGTTTGGGGAGAACTGTTGGAGGAGATCCCAGCAAATATTTACCATAAATCCAGCAAATTCCCAGCAGTTCCAGGATAGCTGCAAAGAGGATCCCCCAGCCCGCACAGAAATGGTCCACCAGGTTGACCCAGTAGATTCCTGCCTGCGGGAGAGAGGAGGAAGAGGAGAGAGGTTGCCTTTCTCCCCAGGAAGAGGCTCTCCAACTTCCCCCACGGAGCTTCTGGCATCTCAGCGTAAGGGAGGATGGGGACCAGCCACAGCGGAAAGCCCTCCTTGAGTCCTACCTGGGTCACACAGACGAGCCCAAGCAGAAAGAGCAGCAGACACAACCCCATCGTCACCACCACTCTCATTTTCTTCATCACTGCGGGGTAGATGTCTTGGATGGTGGTGGTGATGGTTTCTGCAGAACGAAGAGCGAGCACAATTAGTGTCCGCAGTGGGAGAGGAGAAAGGAAGAGGGCTGTCCTGCCATTGCTGCTCTTAGGCCAGCTCCAGCCAGCTTCGCCTCCCTGAACCGCGTCTAGACGATTGTTACTTCAGAATGCCTTTTCACTGGTTTTTCAGCTTGCTTTTTCAGCTTTCCATTCCCTAGCATGCCATCCAGACCAAATTCAATCAGAATAGAGCGGGAAGGGACCTTGGAGGTCTTCTAGTCCAGCCCCCTGCTCAAGCAGGAGAACCTATACCATTCCAGACAGGTGGCTGTCCAGTCTCTTCTTAAAAAACCCCAGTGATGAAGCACCTACAACTGTTCCACTGGCTAATTGTTCTCACTCTTGGGAAGTTTCTCCTTAATTCCAGGTTGCTTCTCCTTGATTAGTTTCCATCCATTGTTTCTTTGCAGAATAATTTGATGCCTCCTCTTCTTTGTGGCAGCCCCTCAAATACTGGAATGTTGCTATCATGTCCCCTTCTTTTCTCTAGACTAGCCGTACCCAGTTCTTGCAACCATTCTTCATACCTTTTAGTCCCTAGGCCCTTAGTTGCTTTTCTCTGCACTTTTTCTAAAGTCTCAACATCTTTTTTGAAATGTGGTGACCAAAACTGGATTCAGTATTCCAGGTGTGGCCTTACTAAGGTTTTATAAAGCGGTACTAATACTTCATGAATCTTGCGGAAGGAGATAGTACTGGCTCCGAACCACTGGCTTCCTTCTGTTCATGTAAATGTTATGAAAAGCATAAATGCAAGAGCTCAACTTATTAAGTATTGCAAGCCCTACTGAAGCAGGCCGGCAGGGTATGTGACGCTCTGTCGTGAGGGTCCTTTTGACCAAGACAAAGCATCATCACATCGTGAGGTGGAGCCTTAATTGATACTCACCTATGGTGGCAAACTGGGAATCGAGACCCAGAAGGAGAAGCATGAAGAAGAACAAGAAGGACCAGAGAGGGGCCACCGGGAGCTGGGACAGGGCTTCGGGGTAGGCCACGAAGGCTAGGTCAAATCCTGCCAGGAAGCAAAATCAGAAAACGTTCTTTCTCGTGGAAACAGAGATCTGTGTGAACAGCCAGCAGTCAACCGAGGCCAATTAGGGCAGCTTTCTGCGATGATGGAGGTGTCCACCAGGTGTGTTTGGGTTCAGCTCTCACCCTCCAGCAGTCTGGCAGAAATGGGAGACAGCTGGGTGGAGAAGATCACATTTAGTGAAATGATCTAAGTGTTACATCAAATCTGAAGGGTAAAAAGAGTCATTCCGGATCACATCTGAATCCAGCTCTGGTTTCCCACGTGACCAGAAATCCAGAGTCTGACAGCAAATCCCATGCTGGCTATTGACTCCAGTACAAATATTCAGTCTGATTGTCTGGACAAGATACGGATTTCTGAGTATAATTTCAGCTACAGCCTGAGGGGTCAAAACTAACCAGAAGCTTCCAGATTTTCAATTTCAAATGCAGTCCAGACATTCTTTGGAAAAGTCTGGACTCCATTTGGAGATTTGAAAAGTGTCTTTCTATTGTTTGCACACAGAATCCAAAACAAAGCACTTTTTTAAAAAACCCATCTGAAGTTCTGAAAGAGGCCAGAAGCTCACCTCAGACGCAGAGGCCCAACGGGCTGAGCTCACCTGAACTGACAACATTGGAGACGTGCTTGTTGGCCCTGAAGGCCATGTGCCCCAAGATGGAGAAGATCGCGAAGCCGGCAAAGACGCTGGTGCAGCAATTGGTCACACAGACGAAAATGGCATCTGCGTAGCAATTGTTGTGGAATTTGTTGTAGGAGGAGAGGGCGACCAACCCACCCCAGGCGACAGAGAGCGAGAAGAAGATCTGCGTGGCTGCATCTTTCCACACCTTGAAGAAAGAAGAGGAAGAAACGTAGGGAGTCACTCTAGCAATCCCACCTATTTAACCATGGATGGTGCGTGCTACATAAGCCATTATAAATATTACAATTATTATTAGCTGTGGCAGCACACTGGTTAGAATGCAGTATTGCAGGCTAATTGTGCCCACTGCCAGCAATTCAATTCTCACCAGCTCAAGGTTGACTCAGTCTTCTGTCCTTCCGAGGTCCCAGATTGTTGGGGGCCATATATGCTGACTTTATAAACCGCTTAGAGAGGGCTGTAAAGCACTGTGAAGCGGTATATAAGTCTAAGTGCTATTGCTATTAAGAATATGAATATTAGTTTATTTTGATGGAGTTCTTTTCCTATTTGGCCATAAAACTCAACCTACCCCATTAAGGTGTTAATTCTTACAATAAGGTGCTCAGCTGGTAGATTATTGGTGATGGCAAGCAGATATCCATGGGGGTTTCTTGGCCAAAGCATGAAAGTTTTCTTCCATTATTTTCTTTTGTTTTGTTTCTCAGTTTCCCAACTGAGCTTTTCTTTTGTCTCCCATTCAAGTATTACTCCAGCCCAAACCTGCTTAGCTTGTCTGAGATTAACTAAATGATGCCTCCTGGCAAGGTAACTCTGTTTGTGTAAAATTAGAACCTAAGATGAAGGTTAAAGAATTTTGTTTGTCTGTCTTTTATAGGACTAACACACACACACACACACACATGTTCCATTCCAGCTGCCCTCCATGGGGTGGGGGGGTACCAACCTCTGCCTCGCCAAGTTTGGTAATATTAGACTGGGTCCCGATGTAGTATTCAATCCCCTCGCGGGCACCTTCCAAGGTGGCACCTCGCACCAGGAGTATAATCAGGACAACGTAAGGGAAGATGGCTGTGAAGTAGACAACCTGCAAGGCGAAACAACACTGATTCAGAAAGAGGTCAGACAGAAGTTTGGGAAGACCAAGGGAATATTTTTTTATTTTTTTTTTAAAGCAACAACAACATGAATTCCCAACTTCAGATACAGGCAATGGTAGGGAATCTGATCGTCACTGGATGCTGTGGCATCCCTGGCCTTTCCACTCATGCCCTCCTGATGGGGTACCTGCAGAGCGTGGATCAAAATCGGCAAGATGCTGAGTGGGGCTTTAATTGCAATGAAGGTCTTGCCGTCTTGCAAATTGAAGCTTCCTCTCAGGAGACATCCTGCCTGCTGTTTGATCCTTTCTTACTAAGGATTCAAGGGATGCCACCTGAGATATCTCCAAGCAAGACAGATGACCTGCCTCTGAGCTGTAGCTGCAATGCAGATGTCTCAAGCATGAATTTCTGTTTTGTGTTGTGACTGTGACAACCCCAGCATGTGCCATCCATTTCTCCCTTCTTATTCTGCAGACACTCCTAGAGGTAATATTCTACAGAAAACTAAGTCCTTTTAGTGAGCTTGGAATCTCTTCCAGGAAAAGCCTGTAGATCAAGCGATCATCAAATTGTTCACCTGCACCCACAGAATTACCTGCCAAATTCTTTGCAGGGAGGACCCGAAAGTCACATCAAATTGCCCTAGACTTGACTACTTCCAGGCTCTTTCCTTAGTGGGCCCGCCCAACAGCGCCTCCAAGGTGGCCAGAACAGGAAGGGAGTTGGCATCTCTCCTGGCACTTTGGAAAATCCTTCATGCCCTTGGAATGCCATGAAACCAGTTCTTTGCTCTGAAACCAGAGCCTCAGCTGCTCTACTGCAGCCACGTGCCAAGCGCCTGGGCCTTCCGCCACCCTCCACTTTAGCTCATGGGCACCTCAGCTACTCTGGCACATGCTCTCCGAGGATCCTCTTCACCCCAAGGTTGAGGTTGAGGAAAGGGGCCTGAAATAGCCCCATATTCCAAGGCTGCTGCTGGTGAAATGAGAATCCCACGGCACAGGCAGCAGTCGACCATCCAAGGGCCATGTGGCTGCCCTGAAATTACCTTCCCAGAGGACTTGATCCCTTTGAACAAGCTAACAGCCACGATCAGCCAGGAAAGGAGGAGGCAAAGGGCCAGGTACCACACGATCACCCCAGTGTCGCTTAAGCTCTCCGACCGCTGGAGGACTTTGTTGCTGCCGGAAGAAAAGGAGAGACGGATGAGCAAGGGGGTGCAGCCTTAACTAGGATGAGTGAAACTCGGCTTGTTCTGTGGTTGAGCCAGAATCAGCTTGGGGTGTGGTTGAGTTGGGGAGAAAAGCTGGAGGAGGGTGGCATTCCAGATACTGCCCAACCACAATCCCCAGCATTCCTCAGCTCTGGCTGTGTTGGTTGGGACTCCTGGGAACTGTGGTTTCCCATGCTGACCTAAGACACTTGATCTTAGCACAAATCCTAGTTTCACTTTGGGTTGCAGTCCTCCTCAGCTTGTCTCGGTCTTCCCCACATGGCCTTCTGGGTTTTGTAGAATTGATTACAGCCTCCCTTCTCCTGCCTTTAAGTGGCTGCAAGGCAGGGCATGTTTCTGGAGGCAGAGAAGCCTCTCTCCAACTTGCACATCTGCCCACACAGACCTTTGCAGTGTCTCATACTGTCCCTCTGCTTTCATGGCTCTGTATCGTTCAGACATCATCAGAGAAATATATGACGGGCCACACCAGTCATGGTTCAACTAACACCTCTGCAAAAAGCATCGTGTTTCCGGTGTTCACGCAGGAAAGACTCGCTCTGGGGAAGCTGGTGTAGATGCGCACTCCTGGGCTAGAATATCTCCAGAGAAGCCAGAATGTGCCCCGAGCTGAATCCCATGGTCCTCGCTCACTCAGGAAAGGCTCCCCCTCCACCATCCCCACTATTTGAGGCAGATAATTAGTGATAGGCCTGTTTCTCTCTTCCCCTCCAGCTCCTATTTGAATCTGACTGCAACCATCATGTTCTCATGAAGGACCCAGCCTGCCTGATTGTTCAGTTCTATCTACTGTAGAGTGTCCATAATTAGACAACCTTGAGAAAGGTTGATTAAATTCCCACCATTCCCCAACTTGCCCAGAAGTCCACACATCTGGAAATTGCCAGGGCTGGAAAAGGCTACTCTAGAGCAGAACTCTCCAAACTTGGCAACTTTAAGACTCGTGGACCATGGCTGGCTGGGAAATTCTGGGAGCTGAAGTCCACAAGACTTAAATTTGCCAAGTGTGGACAGCCCTGATGTAGAGCAGTGGGTAGAGAGGCTCCCAAGGTTTGCTTGTTTATCACATTTATACGGCCCCCCAACTAACCCGAGGCGAAGGCGACTCTGGGCACCGCACAACAATCCGAAACAAGGTTTGAGGGAGTGTCTTTCACAGCCTTTCCTGGAGATGTCAGGATTTCTAGCAAGCAAAGTTGGGCAGGGAAGGTCAATGCAAGTTGCCTGGCAGGTTGCCCCCAATGAACACTTACTTCCAATACTGCTCGCTGGGAACCTGTGTATCTGCATGCACCAGAGTGTTGTTGATGCAGGTAAGGTTCTGCCTCTGCACTTCTGTGTAATTCATCTGGATGCTTGTGTTCCCCATCGTGACGTTGCACAGTAACACTGAAAGGAGAGGAAGAAGAGGCAGTCACAAGGTGTAGAGAAATGGCTTCCCAGTGGGGGTTTATAATTTCTGGCAGTTTTGCTTTAATTTATTTGCTAGTAAAGTTCCAGGTTTATAAGTCTGTAGCACAAGGCTTTTGCTTCAGGTTTTACTTTTTCTGCTTTTTAATTCTCCATGTTACTGTTATGAACTGTTGAAACATGTGACCACCCCCTCCCAATTTCGGCAAAGCAAAGAAGTCTGAAGACCCCCTTTGGCCTGATGGGACCAATTCTTACAATTCCCTTTGAATAGGATTTTACCCCTTGACACGGGCTTGTTAGTCAAACTGCAAATGAAAGGAATGAAAACCGCTTTCATTTGAAGATGGGCAATAACACAGGATAGTAAGAAAAGATGGGAAATAATACGAGGAACTAAAACAGGTGCAAAATATGCATTTCTGTCTAGCTCTTTGAGGATCCATAGTTGGTGATGATTAAATCTGTGCTCATTTGCATAACCCCACCTCCTCATTTGCATATCACCACCCCGGGTGCTGCCTCCAGCTCAGATTAGAAATCAGCCATGTGGCTTTATTATGAAAGGAAAGGAAAGCAGCTCTAATCTCTGCTCTGCATGGGGCACCTGCAGCTAAACCTGGCTTTGCACATGGAAGGATTGAAACCAATGGGTTTGGCCGGGCCGAGGAATTCTTGGCTTTCCCTGAGACTTACGGATTGTCTTGCTGCATTTCTGGTCTGCCCACTCCGGGTTGCATTCGGCCCACGGCAGGACCCTTTGGAAGGAGGCAAACAAGTAGTAGAGGCTGTAGGCAATGATGACGTTGTAATAGATGGTCACAAAGGTGGAGATAATCACCATGGTGATTCCCACGCCTGGTCAGAAAGAGAAAAAAGGCCAGACCATCAGGAGACGTGTTGTGTTTCTGAGCTCCTAGGAGCCAACCTGCTGCTATGGAAGGAAAGCATTGTAAAGACTGAGGCAAGCCACCTGGTTAGCTCAAAGACCTGCAAGCTTTGATGAATGCACAAAGGTGGGGTCCGCTTTGTTTGTTTTCCCCTGAGGATAACACGATTGCGGGCAGCCTGTGTTGTAGCCAAAACAAATGTATTGTCCTGAATGTCCGTATGAGATGTTTCTCAGCATTACTTTTTCATACAGAACATCAAACTGATACGAGAATCCTGTGCGTTATCTTCAAGGAGGAAAACACAATAGGGTTCAGATTGCAGGTACTGTATGCTTAGGAGATCTGCAGGCTGTTTCCTTGTTTCACCTGAGATCCATAGCAAAGCCCAGAAAGCAGCGTGGGAGATGCGGTGCAATTCTTCAAAGAAGAAGTGGGCAAAAAAAGGAACAAAGATAAAGATCGGTTCAAGAGAATCTGCACAAAACCCCTGGTTGGAGCAGAACTGCCCAGCCCTGCCCCCACGCCTCGGGAAACATGCACCTGCCCCCCCCCCACAGCACGTTGGCCTGGCTTGGTGGGAGGAACCTTTGTCTTCAGAGGGACCCAAACCGTTCCTCTCTTGGCCTGTCTGAGACGTCTCCCCACTTTTGAAAAGGAATCAAGGAATGCCAAACAGTAAACAGCCCAACCCTTGAACACCTCGGCAGGGCCAGCCACTAGAACTTCAGCTGAGAGCAACCCCCCCCTCCCTTCCAGCACTGATGATGTTACCTAGTTTGGATAATGAAACGTCTGCAAAAAAAAAACAAAAAAACCCACCAAGCTCAGAGAGCACCGAGGACCCCACAGTTGAGATTCAAACTTAAGTGCTACAGAAAGAGACTTTCCCAGGAGTCTGTCCAGAAAAATACCAGGATAAAGAATAGAACTGACCTTGAAGTAGAGGGAGAATTCTCCAAACTGACACGGGTCCCAAGCTGGCAAACTGTCCCAGGGAGCACTCCATGAAGAAGAGAGGAAGGCCGGCCAGGGCCAGCATGATGGTGTAGGGGATCAGGAAGGCTCCTGCAAGAGAGCAGCATCGGGTGAGAATTCAGCCCGCTACTTTTCTCAAATCCAGCGTGGGCATGTGCCACAATCACAAGCCAATACTTCTGTCCAAGGCACCAGTCTGTGCAAGGAAAGAGCAGTTACTAATTGTGATGGGCAGAGATCCTCAAACAGCCAAGCATTTGGGGGAACCAGCATTTGTCTTGCAGCTGCCTACTGGTTTAGAGAAGAGGGGTGACTGCATCCCAAGCGCGACTCTATTCATCCTGCAGAACAGCTGAAACTTGATTTCGTGCCAATACCAGTGTGTGTGTGTGGATTTGGTTTCCACCTCAGGGGCAGTCCCCTGCTTTCTTCACGCACTTGGCACATTTGCATAATGAATGGGATGAACCTGGGCGCTCTTGAGTGAAAAAGGTTGAGTGTGCTCCATGTTCCCAAGCCATTCTAGTCCTCTGGGTGTGTATAACAGTTGCTCCTATTGTTATTTTCTACCTTTCAAATCAAAAAGGACACAGAGAAGTCAATGAACAGGAGGAGAAAGAGAGGGCAGCCATAAAACCTTCCAGCTGAGCAGAGGGTCCATAACCCCAAAGTCTCTGGCTGAGGCCTCAAGGTCAGCGGAAGAGAAGGGCAGCCCAGCTCTTAGAGGGAGGGGTCACTGGGTTGTGCTCTCTCTGAAAAAAGCCCAGCAGAGCATGGAATCAGAACTTGAGCCCTCAGTTTGCACCAAGCCTTCTGCTCCACATCGTAGCTATCTGGGACATTCAGAAGTTGCAGATGCAAAATTTCCAAACCGCTGAGGATCCGGAATATCCTCTCAATGTTCTGCCTCCTGGTGTGCCCCCGTCTCCCGATCCAACACTCAGAAAAGGGGGAAGAGGAAAATAGGATAAGGGCAGGTGAAAGAACGGCCTTAGGGCACAGTGTGGAGTGTGGCAAAGTCTCAGCCCTGGTAGCCCGAACAGAGGGTCCCTCGACCACCCCCTTCCAAGCCTACTAAGGCTCCAGGGTGAAGGATTTCTATAAAACAGTGGGGAAACGCCCACAAAGATCTATGGGATGAGCCTTGCCAAGAAGGCCCAAATCGTTGTGGTGTCTCTCTGGTGCCTTTGAGATCTAAGGCAGGGGTCTCCAACCTTGACAACTTTCAGACTTGTGCTCGCTGGGAAATTCTGCGAGTTGAAGTCCACCAGTCTTAAAGTTGCCAAGCTCGGAGACCCTGATCTAAGGGACAGATCAAGGTGGGTGGGCTGTGTCTGCTCACCTGGGGAAAAGGAAGCCCTCTTAGCCAGCCAGGTGAACGGCTGCTGAAGGACCCCCAGGACGCCCTGGGCAGCTTTGGCCACCTGGAGGGGGAAGCCTCCTTGTTTGTGGGAGGGGTAGAGCGGGCCTTACCTCCTCCGTTCTGAAAGGTCAGGTACGGGAACCGCCACACATTGCCCAGGCCCACCGCGTAGCCGACCATGGACAGCAGGTAGTCCGTTTTGCTGGACCAGTTGCCCCGTTCCGTGTTCTCATCCTGCGAGTCCGCGATCTTCTCAGTGGACAACGTGAATTCCTTTGGAAGGAGAAGAGCGGAAAGTCAGCCCGTCTTCGTGGGAACAGCTTCCTTCCTGCCCGGAGCAGGGAAAATGCGCCCTGGTCTGCCCAGAGATCCTGCCAGCTGAGGAGAGTTGGCAGCTGCCAGCTAGCTTCCTTGGCCTGGCTCTTGAGATCTGTCAGAACCTGAGCCGGGGCTGCCCCCCAAGGCGTGCTCGGCCCCTCTTTCGCTCCTGCCTGGGCGCGCCTTCAGGGGCTGCACCCGAGAAGGGACGCCAGAGGGTGACCTCCCTTTCCTGCGGGGGAACCTGGGCGCCCAAACCCGGGGAGGCTGGTGGCAGCGCAGCGCCTGGCGCCTCCTGAGCTCCGGCTGCTTCCTCAGATACTCAGGATCGCCAAGCGCTGCGCCCGGCGTCCTCCTCTTGCGCGCCCGCCTGGCTGCTCTTGCGCGGGGCTTTTCCCCCCGCCGAGGATGCTGCTCGCTCGGCTTGCCATGCGCGCGGCGCCGTCCCGAGGGAGCCCGGCAGGTCTCCGGCCCTGGGTCCGGCTCTGCCGCCAGAGACTCCCAGTCGGGACGGACAGCTGGGAGCAGACAGTCCCCGCGCCCCCTTCCTCTCCCCCTCCTTCTCCTCCTCCTCGCTCGCTCACCTTCTGGCCGCAGCGCAGACAGCTGGGCAGCCGGAGCCAACCCATCGCGCTCCTTTCTTGGCCGCAGCCGCTCGGTGGGAGCCTTTATAGCGCCCGGCGAGCCCGTCCCGTCCCATCCAGCCTCTTCCCCCCTCCTCCCCGCCTTCCCCGGGACCGGCCAGGTGGAGCCGAGAGGGCGGGGAGGGGACAAGGGCGGGGCGGGGCGGGACGGCAGGTGCACAGCAGAGCGAGCGCGGAGGCTTCTGCTCCGGGGGGCTCCGCTGGCCCTGAGTCACCCCCCACCCACCAGCTTGGCCGGGCTCTCGTGCCAGTCTTCCCACGACGCCCGGATCCTGCCCGGCAGGCAGCTGAGACGAGCGCCGGCTTCTTCCCCAGAGCGCTTCCCGGCCGGTCGCCGTCCAGCTTCGCGCTCAGTCTTCGGGCCTTATTCTCCCACCTGCCTTTCCCAGCCCACCTCCGAACGTTCCCAAATAGCAAAACCCTCTCGGCTATCTCCGCCGGCTGCCCTTCCCGTCTCCGAATCGCGAGCCCGGAGGAGGGGGGCGGGGAGGGGGCGCTATGGCCGAAGTGCCGGTTCCCCAAATAAAAATGCAAATCGCCCCTCCCACGCCCCTCCGAAGATGCGCTTCACACTCAGCTGACCTGCTTGCTCACTTCGAAGCCTGACACAGGAGCACCCACTGCCCCCCCCCCGGGAGCCCCTGCCGCCTCCTTCCCTTTGCCAGGGGTCCGTCCGGGGAGGGTCATCCGGCAGCTCTTCCTGCCCGGGCAAGGTATTGCAAGCACCGGCGGCTCCCTCGTGACGGCTGCTCAGAGGAAAAGTGGCGTGCAGAGCCAGCGGAGTCATCAACAACTGTTGTGTATATGCCAACAGCCTTTCTGGAGGGCCAGGAGAATCCCCGCCTTTGTGCCCAGCAAGAGGTAGCTCGAGTTGCCTCAGCTCGGAGTCCTTCCTGCAACTTGGGCAGAAAAGAGAATAGTTTTTTTCTTTGCCATCCACTTTGGGACCCCGGGTTGCCCAGTCTCCTGGCCAGGCTGGCAATCCAGGGCAGAGACAAGGGAGCAGGGTTGTGTGCACAGGACAACAAGTGGTGCTGGAACTCTTTGCCACAAGAGGCAGCGGAATCCACCTGGTTGGCTTTGAAAGTGTTTAATGGAGAGTTTACCTTTACTAAACAGAGTCCTCTCAAGCAGGCTGTGAATTCTAAAGTTAAAAAAGAATGTAATAAGAAAATTAAATGCACACATCCACTATGAGAACACCTGTATGCCAAGTTTTGGGACGATTCATCCTTTCCAACCTTGGAAAGAAACTAATGAGATGCATAGCAGATGGAGAAATGTGAACAGTAAAAGAGAGCAAATATGCTGATTAAAAAGCTTTTGGCCAGGAATCTTTCAGGATGTGTCGATTGTGGGGCAACAAACTGGCATAAAACAAAGGGGGAGAACTTGGAAGATCTATCTTCCCACACACGGTGGACATCTCAGTGCTTCGGGGAGACCCCATCCTACAACTTTGCTCCCAAGTTTCAAGCAAGTGGGGACATACAGTCTTTAACCCCAGACTCTAAGACTGAACGGTCCCTGAAAAATCCCCCAAAATCCATCTATGGCCTCAGTCCTTCTCAACTGGTGTCCACAAAAGAGGAACGAATCTAGAAAGTTCATGGAGGAAAGTCCTGGCACCGTAGAAGAGCTTGAATTAGCCCTTCTAAGTGTCCAGCATGGTGAGATGCAGGGTAGGTAGGAGACCCACCACAGGTCTACCCTCCTTAAACTCAGCCGTCTTAGAGCCCAGATCAAAAGCAGCCCTTGGGCTTTGTGATCAGCACAGCAAAGGTCTGAGCATATTTGAGCTTTTCATTTAGATGTCAAGACTTAGAAGGCTCATCCTGGATCAGGTGTGTTTACCTGGCTGCCCAGGTGGTGCCAAAATACCCTTCTCTGCAGGGAGTGAGGCACCTTCTCTACTTCCTGGGATTAAAAGATGTGCTGTCATGTCATGCAGCTGCAGCTGTTTGTGGTCTTCAGTGGTGTGTGTGTGGTGTTTTCAGCATGAGAACCGAAGGTGGTGGGGAAAAAAAAGGAGAAAAACCTCCGTGATGGTACCTCCGTTGCAAGGGGCTGATTTTTAGGGAAGAATCGGGGAGGGGGTGGGATTTCAATTGTGTAATTATGTATTTGGCCTCACACCAGTTCTGCTTGGTGGGCTGCTCCTGCTGAGTAGCAAACCTAAAACAGTTGCTTTCATCTGAAAGTCTGGAGGCTGTCATTAATTAACAAATGGATCAACAGTCTTCTAATAAGCAAGACACCTTGATTTGCCAGTCAAAAGAATTCGGAGTTGGTGAAATTCCAATTTTCTTGTAGACTTGAGTGCTTGTTGCTTTACTGGCTCCAAAACGTTTGTATCCTGTATCTCAAAATAAAAATATTTTCTACTATGCTTTCTAACAATACATTCTTCTGCTTGAGCTCACTTCCTGATGCCTTCAGGGGCACAACCATGTTGTGATCTTGCCACTTGGAAAGACGTGGCCTGCAGTTGCCTTAGTCCTGGCTACATTGTGGACTTCCTAGTCCAGCCTGCAGTTTGGAGATTGTCACAAGCTCCCAGCTCCATTCTGAGCAGGTTCCACCCCGACTGTTGGGGTCCTGAAATCAGCCTGGCTGGCCCACCCGATCCCTTTCTCTAGAAGGCAGCGGTTGGGGTTAGAATGGAAGTTACTTTTTCTCACTCTCTTAAACTGTTTTCAATCCAACAGAGAGGTGAGAAATTTCATAACATGCACCTTTATTTAAATACAGAACAATTAACTGAGTTTGTGGTTAAAAATACAAATTTCCCTGCTTTGAAGACCGTTGGGTCTGTGAGATTTATTATAGATAAACTGCGCGGGATTAAGTTTTTATCTGTTAAACATTCTTGTTTTGACCTTGTTAGTTTGCTAATGTCTTAGTGATGGGCTTGGCTACCAGGAAGCTGCCTGAAGTTAGCTTTTCCAGAAACCAGCTTTTTATTGCATTTCATGAAGGAAACAAGGTTTTAAGATAGGGCGTGCAACCCTTACTATCTTCATATCACATTAATTTGAAAATTGAGTATGCACTGTAGTAATATTTGGCTTGGATTAGTCTCGGTGAACATGATTAGATGAGCAGTTGTGACTTATTGCAAAATGATATATTTGATTTAGATTTTTTTTATCCCACCCTTATTATTTTTATAAATAACTCAAGGTGGCAAACATATCTTATTTCCTCCTTCCTCTTTCAGTTTTTCTACAGCCACTCAGTCGATACGTCATTCTTATTTTTAATCCCTTCTACCATCTGTGAAAAATTCTCAAGTCTGGAAGAATTTGTAGCAGTGGAAGAGAAATCACAAATCGTCAAAGTTGGGAATGTTTCCACATCTGCAACCGGGAAGTACCAGCTTCCCTGTTGGGGATAATTAGGCCAAATTCCAGAGTGGAGTTGGCGAAGAATGAGAAAAGGTTCCGAATTCACTCCAAACATTTGTGTGATTCAGTAGTTCAAGTGATAATGTTGGTGCAGAGATGTTTTCTCTTCTGGAAAATGGGAAGGAAGGAAGATCCTGCCCCCTCCACCAACGACATGATCTCGTGTTCAGAAAATAGGAAGAGAAGATGAGATTTCCAAGAAACCTCATGTCATACCTGCTGAAGCTTCATGGTGGCATTTGGAACTGGGTCTACTTTTCCTTGCCAGGACTTTTATTAACCCAGAGTTATCTCACTCCCTCCTGTTTGTCATGATCGTCCACCCTTAAGACTTTCAGGGTGGACCCCCGTCCCCTCAGCTTCAAGATGACCAAGAGTGAGATTTCTGGAATGAATTCGCCCTACAAACAAAATTGCCACCTGTTCCTGGAGGTTCCTCCCGCGGTTCAGGAGATGCGGCCCCACAAAGGAGTCAACCCTATTGCTTCATAGCAGAATTTTGCATATTGTGAACTGAAGAGGTGAATTTGAAAAGGCAGGTTGGGCCAAGTGCCCCGCCTTGCAAACTGGGAAAGGGAGCTTAGCTGAACACTGACGTAGGAGGAAACAGGAATCAAACTCTCCAAGTCAAGAGGACGTTTCCCCCTTCTGAACTCTGTCAGAAGGATGGACTAGCCAGAACTTTCAGGATAAGGTTTGGCTGAGTTCAAAGCCTGGATCATTCCAGGAAGGTTGGAGTAGCTTTGCATCTCCTTTGCCCAAGGTTTAGACCGCTCCCACGGGCCTTAAGAAGGTGAAGGCTGTAAAGGAAATCCAGGCGGCATGCTTCTACAGGTAGTCCTCGAATTAAAACCATTCATTCAGCAACTGCTTGAAATTACAATGGCACTGAAAAAAGGATTTATGAGCTGTCCTCCACTTATTTCTGATCTGCCCTTGACAGATCCTCATACTCAGGGTATCCTTTTCTTCACCTACTCAGAAAAATGAGCATGTTGACCTTCTACTGTTCTGTTGAGCATTAGCATCAGTGAATGGAACCAACAACGTCCTATCAAGGTGGCAGTTGTGTGGGGAGGGAATAATGGAAAGCATCTATTCTAAAAGGAGGGGATGGTCCTGATGCTGAAAATAATATTTATATTTTGAACATGAGGCATTCATTTTAAAATTTTCCACCTGGTTTCATGCACATAAAGTCATTTATCTTCCACGAGCCATGGGACATTGTTTCTGGTTTATCTAGCATTTTACGATGTATTATAGTTAATCAAACCAATTAGAAGGTTAAGGATACTTTATTTTATTGTTCTGCCCTTGTAGTTCCACATAAAACAATAATCCAAAGGGCTACAACTTTACAAAAAGAAATATAAATCCATCAGGAAGTCAGCACTGTCTCTGTAAAGTTTGGGCAAACAAGACAGGCACCCTTGCTTGGTCCAAAGGGCAAGGAGGCACCAGGAAGGCTTCTCTATGAAGGAGATGCATTCCCACCACAGCTTCTGCCAATCTGTGGAGGAGGATTGGCACGTGACCCACGCCTTATCTAGTCCTGAAATTCTTCCAGCTTCCCCCTCGCAGTCCCAGTCCCTCGTTCGGTTCGTGCAGTTCCGGGAACTGCTCTTGTGTTGATGCAACCTCTCGTTTTCAATCATCTTCAACAACCTG